GCACCCTAAGTAAGTAATAGGTATAACACAGGATGGAATTGTAGACAACCCAGTAAACCAAATACAGTTGTATCTTGGAAGCTGCTCCAAGTAATTTCCTTCATGTATTTTAAAAGGATCAAGAAAAAACAAATATCATCTTAATTGTGGAAACCGAGCTGTAATGGTTATGTAGAAGTGGCCAGTGTGTTTTCTTTCCACTTCATGCTGAATGTATTTTTGCTTATTCCAGAAGACGATGAGGATAATACAGAGCGTGCCTGTGACACACTGCTTATGTGCATAGTCACAGTCCTAAACCATGGCCTCAGAAATGGAGGTGGTGTGGGTGATATCCTCCGGAAACCATCAAAAGATGTGAGTTCATTTGGTGGGGCAATCTATATGAGAAGCACCTAGTGAAAGGGTGATCCAGTGTGTTCTTTTTTTAAAAAAATGTTTCTATTCTATGGGAACCAAGATAGATTTATCATATTGCAAATTGCCAATCTTATCTCTGTCAAAAACATATACTTTGTTCCTCTTCAAACTGAAATGGTCTGTTCTCCACAGAATTATCTTGTAACAATTTCTGGAGGGTGATATTTTCTAGCAAAACACAAAAAAACAGTGCTTAGGGTTAATACCCATCTTTGCTTTTGTACCCTAAAGGAGTCCCTCTTTCCTGCTCGAGTGATCTATGACCTCCTGTTCTTCTTCATTGTCATAATCATAGTTCTCAACCTCATCTTTGGTGTCATTATTGACACCTTTGCTGATCTGAGGAGTGAAAAACAGAAAAAAGAAGAGATCCTTAAGACCACCTGTTTTATATGTGGTAAGTACCTACCGAAAGTCAGTATCTAGAAAACCTTATACCCAATAAATATTTCCTGCTGGAAAATGATTTGGCCTATAAGCATTTGCCTTCAATACAAAAATGGTTGGCATCCGGTTTGTGAATTATGACGGTTTAAGCCTGACTTGCAGCACTGTAATTCTCTTCCAACCATTAAATGACCAAAAGCCACCTGCTCAACTCTACCTTTTAAGCAATGCAGCCTTCCCTAATACATCAATTTCAGTGAACATCTCCCACTCTTTTCTTATAGCTGGACATACTGTGGCAGGCATCTTCAGAAGAAAAGAGCTGGATGTTTTCTTGCTCATTTCCACTCTCCCACAAAATAAAAATGGCTGTGCGGGGATGGCTGTATGGTTTAAAGTTAGGTTTGGGGGTAGCATCTGGAAAAAAAGGGACACAGATACATCTTCATAGCAAGGTCTCCTGATGTGGGAGTGGGGCCACTGTGTTCTACGTTGGATGTGAATTGAACCTGTACAAATCACAATGATGGCTTAGGCCTTCAAAGCAGACCCAGAAATACAGGCCTAACTAACTTTCATCTGAGTTTTTGCCTCTGTTGCTTTGTGGGGAGTGTGGCAGAAAGACATGATGCCAAATTGGGTTTCCTCCGATATGCCATGGGTAATATCTAATGTTTTCTGACATACATGTCTTATGTCAATTATAAAATTTTCAAGACGTTGCTTTAAAAATAGACTTCATCTGATATATGCCTTCCAAACTCAGCCTTCTAAAGATTAGCTTCCATTTTACGAAAATTTTCATATAGTTTGTACTGTTAAGGCTATATTTGTAATCTCTATCCTTAGCCACAAACATTATACACATCCATGTGCTCCTTATAAGACACACTGAAGTCATAAGGGAAGTACAGTAAATGCTATCTGTTCCAATACATATACGACCATCCAGCAATCAATTCATTTTGGTTTGGATCCAGAAAGTTATGCTGGAGAATCCTCCCCATCAATAGCTCAGCCCTATTTAACAGTGTCTCCCAGCCCTCTGTGTTGTTCCTTAGTGGTCTGAATGGACTGTTGTGGGAAGGGGGTCATTTCAAGGGCTCAGAGAAGAACATGTTTGCCACTAAATCTGGATTCAACACAGAGTATTTAGATCGCTATGTGTTCCAAATGAAGATCAAGTACAGTAAAGGAATATGTTGGTAAAACCAGTCTCTCTGAAGAAAAGTTATGGAGGATCATACCTTTCCCCTTTCCTTCCTTGTCTCTTCAGGACTTGAAAGGGACAAGTTTGACAACAAGACAGTCTCCTTTGAAGAACACATTAAATTTGAGCACAATATGTGGAATTACCTGTATTTCATAGTTCTGGTGCGAGTGAAGAATAAGACTGACTATACAGGTCCTGAGAGCTATGTGGCACAAATGATAAAGGTATGTATTATACAAATGAATATCCATATGCTACACTGACTTGCAACATGCGAAACCAGTGTTTTTAAAAATGATTGTTTCCCCAATGACCATTCCAGAACAAGAACTTGGATTGGTTTCCACGAATGCGAGCTATGTCTTTAGTCAGCAATGAAGGTGAAGGGGAGCAGAATGAGATCCGAAGCCTACAGGATAAATTGAATTCCACCATGAAGTTGGTATCCCATCTCACATCACAGTTGAATGAGCTGAAGGAACAGGTAAGAACCAAAAGCAGCAACAGGGATACTTGAGGCTGGACCAAGAAAACGAGCATGTTTAGGATGTTTTCAAGTGTCAAGATATTTGGCCACTTTTGCTATCTAAAAGTCACTTGCTGTTAGTAGCAATGTATGGGACCGATCTTAGAGGACTTCACTTTTTTTTGTTTTTTCCTAATGTTGTAGAGTTTAAATTTGCCAATCACATCCCAGGTGGCTACATGTGGCTATTTTGGAACCATGCCTGTTCTCTGGAGCAATTTTAGGCTCAGGGAAAACTTTATTCACAATTGGGATGGGAATACATGGAAGTATCCCTTAGGTTGCAAAAGTTTTCCCAAGCCTAAGAAAGTCTTGGGAATATACAGAATTAGCAACTCAATGCGGAGTACAAAAATTGTAGTTCTGACAAAGGTTGCATAGGTTCAGATGGTGGCAACCATCTTTTGAATCTTTCTTTCTAAAATTTCAGATGACAGAGCAAAGAAAGCGAAGGCAGAGGATGGGTTTTGTGGATGTTCAGAATACAATGAACCACTGAGATAACATCCCCAAGCCAAAACTGTAACAAACATATCCACTTCCTGAGGAGGATACTTGGTACTGAATTCCCTGAACCAACCTCATCTTCAAGGAAAGCTGATTGATGACATGATGATTCATACTGTGGAATCGCAGCATCACCTTTTGTTCATCTCTCATAAGGTTGATTGCAGACACTTTCTTCAGCAAAAGACTTGAAATCAATTAGTGGGATTGCTTCATGTGGATTCATAGATTATCACATATTTGGGAGCTTTGTTGCTCTTTATAACGCATGTTCTACGAACAGAGTTCTTGTCTTTCTCCACGCACCACATTTTGATGGCAATCTAGCCAGGTGCAAATAGTACTGACACTATTACTAGCAAGTAGTACTTTGCTATATTTTAACTTATTCCAGAAGAGTTCATGGAAGGTCAACATACAAGGATTTAATGCTACAAGTTTATCATCTCAAGTTCTCTGGAGCCAGTGGATTTTTCTTACTTTTATGTCTTGAATCCTGTCTCATTCAAGAAGAAACTGGAAGAAATTGTACTGTTAGTAATATTTCAGATGAAGATGGCTGGCTGATTATATTGTTGAGAATGAAAGGAACCTTTTTAATTCCAAAGAGAGACATTGTAGGGTTTACAGGGATCACTCCATTGATAGAAATTTTAGCAAAATGTTACTGAATTTTTATTGGTCAATTATATTGTTACTTTGACCCTCAAACTCATTCATTACCCATTACTGGAACTATCATTTAGCAGTTTGATGACTAATTTGGCCAGTGCAAACAAAATGCCATAGTACTATGAATAGGCAACCTATGTCACCCCATTGATAAGAGTGGCAGATAGTACACTTAAGGTTCATCCTGCTTTTAGGAAAAACAAGATTTTATAGCAGAAGTATATCCACTTGCTGAAGCCAGGTATCAGTATGCTTTCATTATCACTAGTAATCATTGAAATGAATGCTGAAGTAACACTAGACAGCATGTGTAAATGACGTTGAGATTCAGTGAAGAGTCAGAAAATGCACTATTCCAATCTTACAATTATAAAAATGTTCCAGTTTAGCAAATGAAGCAATCCATTGCCAGGAGATTAAGTACAACCTCTTCTCCAATCCTTTAGACAGCTCCATAACATACGAAAGCTCATTTTGGGTTTTGCTTCAAAGTAGACCAGCACTACCTGTAGATCAAGCAAGGGACAATCTGAACAAGGCAGGATGACTGCATGACAAAAACCTGGTCCAGAGTGTACTCTATATGGGGAGACTAAAGAGGAGCCATTTTGTATCTCAAACAACCTTTTTTTTTCTTCTTCTAACCAAAGCAGAATTTATATTAAGTGTACAGACTGATGTGCAAATTTCAGAGAATAGAAAATCCCTAATCAAGTAGACCAGCTTTGCCATTTTTCATATTTTCTGGTATGGTTTATGAACATGGTTTTAATTTTAGTATGGAAACTAACTGAAGTTTTAACACCCAAAATCAAACCAATAAATGGAAAAGAGGTGAAGATCTTTCTTCTTTGTATGTAGAAATATGAACTTCTCAGGTACAAGTGAACAGTTTTCTAAAGATCTATTTAAGTAGTTAAAGAATTGTAAATTTTTGGAGGGGTCTTGTCGATTATTCACTATACTATGCTCAGTGGAGAATATAAAATGCAAGTCAAGTGCATTGAGCAATAGGCGTTAGGCCTCTGCTGAATACCACCAACAAAGGAGGTACAAATTGTATAGAAGCATGAACCATTGCTGTACAAACTACTCAGTTTTGCACAATATCAGCTAGTACACTGCATAAATACCAGTAATCTGGCAGAACCATAGAAGGACATGACTAGGGAATATCATGAATCATAGAGTTGGAGACCACATGGACCACCTAGTCCAACTCCCTGCCATGCAGAAAAGCACAAACAAATGACCACATAGAGATCCACACAGCTATATAGTGTAACATATATATATATTTGGAAATATCTTTGAATTCTAGAAAGTTATGAAATACAACTCCCCTTATGGTCCAGCACATCAGCTGCAGGATAATGTTGGACAATAGTTTTTCCACAAACAAAAATGTAAACAATCATAGAATGGCAACCGTGACACCATCTACTGCAAATATATTGAACATTATCTTAGTACCCTGCATAAACACATGTAATAAAATGGGCTTGGCTTATCCCATTGAAGAATAAGTCTTTAATCCGCCAAGCCTTTAAGCCGTGTCCATGATAGTAATTCAAAGATGAGATCAAAATTGACTGGATCTTTGGATTTAAATATCTTGATGTTTTGACACCAACATATGTAAGGTAATTAAAATCCTGTTTCAAGAAAGCTTATCCATCCTGGCAAAATAGAGTATTTCAAGAATACTGAGTAGCAGGATAATATCATTTGGAATCTTCTTCAGGAGATTTGGCAGAGAATTTTTCCCGTAACTTTGTCCATTTTCCTTTCTTCGCTTCTTCCAGTTGCTTCAAGCTGTCTGCAACCACAGGAGGGAATGGACAAAGAAAGATAGTATGTGTTATGTAGAGCTCTGTATTGATGCCTGTTTCCTCAAAAGGTTTTACATGCTGCAAATTTGATACAATGTATACAGGTCACAAGCCAGTCATAGCCAATCTTGGGTCCATGGTGCCTGATCCTGTCCAATTCACATGGATGAAAAAACTAGCATTTAATATTATACAACTAGTCAATTTTAAGGCACACAAAAACCCCAAGGGGTGACGTAATACCATTAATGTTCAGCTAAATCAGTTTCTGCTTCAGTGCCTGAGGCAAAACTGCTTCTTTTTTACTCAAACAAGCTCTACGGAAATTGCCATTTTTCAAACACTGCACTGAACAAAAGCCTAGTATTTAGATATGTCCCACTTCAAATGTGTTTCAAGTATTTTCCCATAAAGTGTCTTTGTATAGACATAAAGTTGCTAATACAAATAACAGTATGGAGGAAAGCTGATTTGTAAAAAGGGATTCTCAAGCCTTGTTTAACAACTAAAAAGGATCACTGGAAAAGAGGACATGTGCAATTTATTTCTTGGTCTATCTTTGCCCCCAAAATAAACTGCTACTGTATGAAGAGAGAAAGTGAACCGAAATCTGTTGGATTACAGTTGTCTTTAGTACCTGTGTTGTTCTTTGAAGCTTATTAGCTTTGAGTGCGCACACAACCTTTATCTTCTTATCTGTGTGTCTCAAAGAAAGGGAAACTAAATACTAGAAAATCCGCATTAACACACAGTAATTCTCATTTCCATAATGAACTCTTTGCTCCTGTACTAACACGACTGAAACAAACACCACCTTTGAAACAACCATGCCATACACCTGGGTTCAGAACAATGTTGTTGTGCACCTTCAACTCTCTTCTAACTTATCTAAGGCAAAGTGACCAGTGTTTTCTTTTTTATTTTTTATTATTATTAAACTTTATTTGTACCCTGCTAGCATCTCCCGAAGGACTCGATGCGGCTTACAAAGGTCAAGGCCTCAACACACAATACAACAATACAAAACCTAAGGCAAATTAAAAACAATTAAAGCAATATAAACAACAGGCAATAAACAATACACTTCTTGGCAAGATCTGTGCAGAGGGGCATTGCAATTGAGGGCTGAAAGAGTGTGAGGTCTCCATATCTGGCTGGGCAGAGATCTGAACCCTGGTTTTCCAGAGTTGCTGTCCAGTGCTCAAACTGCTACACCAAATCAGCTCTCCCACACTGGCTCTTGTATTAACAGAAGAAGAAAACAGCCATCCCAACCTACTGCAAAACGCAATACAATTGTGATCAAGTGTGCATTATGTGAGCTGCTTACAGTGTCCTTGAAGAAAGTACAGATGGTGGTTGAGGAGAAACATTCTTGTTAGTGAACATTCTTGTTGCTTATAAAGATAACTGCATCATTTTGTGGCAGGACCAGTCTGGCATAAGCTGACATTCTAAATCTATTTATGAATTTCTGCTTTATTACCTCAAGCCAATATTGTTAGGCACTATTGCTTTTGAACCCCAAACTTATTCAATTCAAAACTCAATCTACTTGCCAGGTGGCTCCTTATAATTACATTAAGTATAAAGGTTGACTACAAAGGGTCACATTGTTTCTATGCACAGAAAATGTGAAAAGCAGCTAAAGTGTTTTTACCCAACAGAAAATACATTAAGGAATAGTTAGACTAAGTACCTGTTGCCAGAACCATCTTGCATTCTTCCACTGTCACTCCAGTGAAGCTTGTATCTTTCAAACGCGGGTACTACACAAAGAGAAGAACGTTAATAATGTAGGCAAGCCTTTTTTTTGAAAAATTACATTCTTATTCTGCATATTGCACTAAACAGTGCATGCTGTCTTATGAAATTTACTGTGGTGTCATTAAATTACCATACTCATTTCCAATTGTTGATAAAGTAAAGAACTATCTCTTAAATACAAACACAGTAGAAAAGGTTCAGTAAAATTCCTTGTTATTTTCTTCTGAGCAAAGGATGCAACAGGAAACCAGAAGTATCCTTAACATCAAGATTACAAATAAAACCCAAGGGCAGCAAAATAGATTGTAACACTGGATAACTTGACTTCTGACATACTGACACATCTTACCTTGGTTTTATAATGATTGGTGTGGATTCTGGCTAAGCTCTCAAACATTTCATCACAAGTCACTGGATCAGGAATCTGCAAGAACACAAAAGCCCAAGGAAATCCTCCTTAGAGGAAGCACAAAACCACCTGGTACTATCTATTATTGCATACTGGGTTGTACATCATATTCAGATTCATTTCAAATCCAGAATAAAAAAGGTGGCAATTAGGACAACAACAGCTCTTGCACAAAACTCCATTTATTCTGAAATGCAAGAGGCTTGATTATCTCAGAAGTATATATATATTTTCTAATTCTGACAGTCATTAAAAGCAACCCAAAATGTTAAAGGGTGAAGCACAAAAACTCCTGCTTTGTTTTGTCTAAAATATGATAGGCTTAATACACTTAGAAGGGGCTATTAGTCCTATAAATTTTCTCTGCAGAACTTTTCACAATGATGACAGGAAGGAGGGGGTACTTCTTTTCTTGCTGCCATATTAAGAGTGGCTGCAGAAGAAAAGTAGTGTGGCAGAGGTGCTTTTTCCCCATATGTTTGGGAGGTTTTGTGTGATTTTAGAGCAAATATTTTGCCCAAACTGCTTTTTTATTATTCAATGGCAGACTAAGTGTGTTTCCAACCCTAATATGGGTTTCAAGATTTACAAAGCTGGGACTTAGTGAACACATGTTGCCTCCCCTTACCCTACATGATAATGCAATCTCAGAAAGTCTCATTTGTTGCATTAATTATGGAAGCCAGAATAGTATAGTTAACAGAATCAGTCATGTGCTGCTTTTTTCTCAATCAACTCATTACTTTCTTGTGGGTGCACCGTATGCTCTAGACATTGTTTGAGATACAACTTGTCTTATACAATGCAGTATTTAAGCTTATATTATCTATATTTATGCCTAGAATATACAGGTCTTACTTTTCAACTATTTCCAGTTTTTGACTGTGCTCTGGCCCCTAACCCACCAAATAAGATGGAGACAACTACATAATTTTGAGTTTTACATATTTGTGTATTCAGAATGAAATCTTTTGATAGTATGCAGGTATCAAGAGGAAAGCTGGAGCATCATTTTAGAAAGAATAGCCTATCACATCTCATTACACATAAATAAAACAGACATTAGGTTTACAAAATGCGTTTATAGTTGTGACTGGGTGCTTTATACATTTCTCTTGTCATTTGGCAGTACATTTCTCTTCACTGTATCAAATATTTTATGCATACAAAATGGTATCAGTGCCACAAGCATCAATTTAAATTTATCAAAACCGAGTGGCAGTTTTGGGAAATTAAAGTGGGACTTAGCAGTTCCGAGAGCAAAGAAAAATGCCTTCTGAAATACATGCAGCAGATTGCTCTGGTGACAAAGATAACAGAACAATTTCTTGTGCTGCTCTCAGAATGATCAAGAGATGCTGGTTCTCTTGAACTAGCATGTCTGTCATAGATATATTTCATTAATACTTGTAAAATTAATAGCTTTGCCTCTAAGGAGCCTACTACATACCGAGATATTATACATACCGAGATATTATGACGTGTGTGTGTGTGAAATGTTCGTTTGTGGGATTAACATAACTCAAAAGCCACTAGGTGAATTGAAACCAAATTTGGACACAATACACCTTTCAGGCCAATGAGTGACCATCACTCATAAAAACACTGAAAAACACAACAGAAGAGACTTAAAAAGTCAAAAAATAAAAATACATTACAATGCATGAACATAACCACATAAACACACATATACACACAAATATATACACACACAAAAACACATACACACAGACTACGCCACAGCAGCATGTGGCAGGGGATGGCTAGTGCCAACTATTAAGAACTCAGAATTTCAAGGGTTGAAGTGAAGTGCCTCACAGTTATGAAAAGCTTGAGGCAGCAGCTTATTCTGACCCAAATTATATGCTATTGCACTCAGTTGGAAGAATGGGAATTACTCTGAGGAAAGGTAAAGAGCTGTGCCCTTCTCTTACCTCTGTTTACAAGAGGAGATTTTGCAGCTAGGAAACCCAGTGCTAGTTTCCATCAGGCAGATTGGAAAGAAATAAGGGGATCCTTGTAGGTTCAAAAATGCTCTTGGAAACTGACACATACAAATTAGACACCATCAACATTCAAACGGGCATAATCCTGATCAGCAGAAGCACTTGGTTTCAGGCTGCAGCAGAGGAAAATGCAATACTTTATTGCCATTTAAATCATTTTCATTCATTTTAAAAACAGCGTAACTTTAAGGTCTGTTACCTTAGTGGTTTGGCCTGTAGATATGTGCTGCTTGGTTTTTAAACTTACAAGCCAGGAAAACAGCGTACAGTCTGAATGTTGTCATCCAAGAGCATTTTTTAAACCAACTAGGATTCCACTCCTCCTTTTTACACAAAACAAATGGCAGTTCAAAAGCTATCTGAAATCCACCACTATTACATTTTGTTAAGCTGATAAGAACTTTAGATACATCAGACACATCACTATGGATCTATCCTACTACCTCTGGAAAGTAGATATGTTTTGGTGTTCACACTTATCATTACAAGTCTACAAGAAGAGTTTTCCTCAATTTTACATGATGAGGAACGGCCATATGAGATACAATTATTTACAAGAATCTCTTCCAGTACTGAGTGGACATTAAAAAAATCTTTCCCATCCAAACCTCAATTCTGTGTGCAATTGCTTGGGCATAAACTTGAAACAAACTATGACGTTTTTTAATAATAATACAGTACAATTCGTCATTTATACAGTACTCTATCTTGGAAAAGACAATTCCCATTTTGTGTGTGTGTGTCTGTGTGCATGTGTATGTATATATATATATATTCTCTTTTTTATAATAATTTTTATTGATTTATCACAATTGCTACATTTGTTATACATTTGTTATTACTGTTACATTTTGTTCAACACTCTTTAACATGTTATTTTATTGTTTTGCTTAAGCATTTTTCCCCGTTTTATTTTCCCCACATTGCATGCATATTCTCATATGCATGCAATGAAAAAACATTTGGCAACATTGTAGCTGTTTTAAACTGTATTTTGGAATGCTGAATGCAAAAAAAAAAGCCAAAACAAAACAAAACACACACAATAGAAACATACCACACATTTTTTTTTTACAAATTACTAATTTCATTTAGTCATATATTAAACATGAAAATGGCAAAGCAAGTTGTGATGGAGCAACTCTGAGTTCATTTCTGGATTCAGAATGCCCGATTACTAGAAATCCAGCATGCTTTTTAAAAAATATCTAATTACTCTCCATTTTACGGGCATGGGATTAGAAAAAATCTGTAAGATGTGTCATAATTTAAACCATGGAGTTCCTTAAACTGAGATTCTGATAACAATCGTGTAAACAAGCCCTACTGATGAACACAGTGGTACTTACTTTTGAAGAAATATTATTACACAACACATTACATCACTAATGGGTAATACAGATGAGGTAAAGGGGGAAAAGAACAGAAAGTCTACACCTTTTAACAGTTGTGTGCAGAATATATGATTTCAGGAGACACAGATTTTGCAGCAATCTCTTCGCACAACTATAGAGTTTCCCCCAAAATGTATATACTAAAGGTAATATTACCTATAGTGATTATTTAAAGTCTTAAGTAAATAAATTTATATTTAAGAATAAATGTTAGAATGATGATTTAAATCAGATTTCCATAGTCTATCTTGAATTACAATTTTATGACGGGTTTTTAAATTGTCATGCCTGTGCAGCCATGCACTACTTGCCATGTTACAGCAAAGAATTGCAAACGTGGACATTCCACAAATATATAGACCTCACTTGCCCAGTTTCCAACAGACCTCATAACCTCTGAAGATACCTGTCATAGATGTGGGTGAAACGTCAGGAGATAATGCTTCTGGAACATGGCCATACAGCCTGGAAAACTCACATCAACCCAGTTGCAAATCTGTTTCTCATGTAATTTTGTGACAGTTCTCTGCTACTGCCATCTTTAACCCTATTGTGTAGATTTTTAAATCTCAAAAAACCTCCTCACACCCAATTTCCAGAATTATACATCAAGGGGATCTGTGTGTATGCATGTATATAGGGAGGGAGGGAGACAGAAATACGAAAAAGAATGAAAATCGATTTCCAGGATTATAAACTGTTAAGCGGGATGTGCATTTTGGGAAGGGCCAGAGGAAGGGAGGTATATGCGTATGTACCTGTGAAAAACATATATTTGAAAAAAGATGCAAGAGATAACAAGAGACCACAAGTGGCCCTTGAGCAGACCTTGCACTCCAAGGGATGAACCAATGGGCTAGAAATGGAAAAGAAAACACAGAATCATATATTTTGGCAAATGGTAGATTTGCACGAAGCCCAAAGGAGTGGATCAACAACACATCAAATAGATATTTGAAAAAAAGATGCAAAAAGAATGAAAAACTTCAGTAACAATAAGGTCTTATGGGTGTGTACATTTTTTGGATACGCACACACACACAAGCAGTCCCCTGCCATGTGTTGCTGTGGCCCAGTTTGTGTATATGTGTTTTGTGTGTATATATATGTGTGTAATATATGTGCATATGTGTGGGTATATATTTGTGTATATGTGTAGATATGTGCTTGTGTATATATGTGGTTTTGCACATGCGTTGTAATGCATTTCTTTTGTTTTTTGGCTTTTAAAGTCTCTGCTGCTGTGTTTTTCAGTGTTTTTATGACTGATGGTCACTCATTGGTCTGAGAGGTATCTTGTGTCCAAATTTAGTGTCAAATTCATCCAGTGGTTTTTGAGTTATGTTAACCCCACAAATGAACATGACATTTTTATTTATATAGAACAGTGGTTCTCAACCTTCCTAATGCTGCGACCCCTTAATACGGTTCCTCATGTTGTGGTGACCCCCAACCATAACCCTAACATTATGAATTGCCATGTAAATAATGATCTGCAGGATGTATTTTCATTCACTGGAGCAAATTTGGCACAAATACCCAGTATGCCCAAATTTGAATACTGGTGGGGTTGAGGGGGGATTGAGTTCATCATTTGGGAGTTGTAGTTGCTGGGATTTATAGTTAATATGTAAACAAAGAGCATTCTGAACCCCACCAACAATGGAATTGAACCAAAGTTGGCACAGAAGACTCCCATGATCAACAGCAAATACTGGAAGGGTTTGGCAGGCGTTGACCTTGAGTTTGGGAGTTGTAGTTCGCCTACATCCAGAGAGCACTGTGGGCTCAAACAATGATGGATCTGGACCAAACTTGGTACGTATATTCAGTATGCCCAAATGTGAACACTGATGGGATTTGGGGAACATAGACTTTGACATTTGGGAGTTGTAGATACTGGGATTGATAGTTCACCTACAATCAAGGAGCGTTCTGAACCCCACCAATGACAGAATTGGGCCAAACTTCCCACACAGAACCCCCATGACCAACAGAAAATACTGTGTTTTCTGATGGTCTTTGGCGACCCCTCTGACACCCCTTCGCGACCCCCTCAGGGGTCCCGACCCCCAGGTTGAGAAACACTGATATAGAAGATATATATATATGAAGCAACGAAAAACAATTTCAAGAATTATAAGGTATTAAAGGTGCATACATTATCTTCCAGAACATTAAGCTTCTAAAGTGGTGTATATTTGTTTCAAATATATATATTATGAAAGACAGAAAAACATTTTTTTTTCAAAATTACAGGTTGTTAAGGAAGTGCCAAAGAGGAAAGCTGCCAAAATGATAAACTGTTAAATGTGAATACAATTTTGGGGGGTGTGGATTGCAAACTCACCAACTTCCAAAACTATATACATTACAAAAAGCGAAAACTGATTTAAAAAAAATCCAAAAAAACCACCTTCCAAAAGTATAAGCTGTTAAAGCAGGCATGGGCAAACCTGGGCCCTCCAGGTGTTTTGGACTTCAACTCCCACAATTCCTAACAGCCTCAGGCCCTTTCCTTTCCCCCCTCAGCCGCTTAAGCGGCTGAGGGGGGAAAGGAAGGGGCCTGAGGCTGTTAGGAATTGTGGGAGTTGAAGTCCAAAACACCTGGAGGGCCCAGGTTTGCCCACGCCTGTGTTAAAGGCATACACATTATTATTGTGTGGGGCTGGCGCTCTATATTGCAAGGCGCAAGAGGTCTGGCCTGCTTCTGGCCTGTGCTCCCGAGGGCAACTCGCCCAGACACGCACTGAATAAAGGCGGCTTAACAGCGGCCCTCGTATCCCGGCGGGCGAGGGGAAGGGCGCTCCCTCCGAGGCCCACCTGGGTGTTCTCTCCCTCGCGGAAGGCCTGCGCCACCCGCTGCCGCAAGAAGGTGCCCAGGTCCCGCCCGCGCTTGCTCTCCTCCACGGGCCACTCCTCGCAGAGCTTCAGGAAGCGCCGGTACCGCGTCACCGCCATCTTGGCCTGGAACTGTCTCCGCCCGCGCCATTGGGCAAGGACGGTCACGTGGGCGTGGCTGTGCGAATGACGTCGTCGACTGGCGACTGAGAAGTCTGCTGGGTGATTAATCAAGGGGGGCGGGAGTTTGAGTTGGCTCTATTGTTACCATGGAAACATATTTGGGCCTGGTATAAAAGTGCCTCTTCTACACCAGGCAGGGGCAAACTTGGGCCCTCCAGGGGTTTTGGACTTCAACTTCCACAATTCCTAACAGTTGAAGACAGTTCCATATTGTCTCCTGTGCTCTACTAATAATATAATATAATATAATATAATATAATATAATATAATATAATATAATATAATATTATATTATATTATATTATATTATATTATATTATATTATATTATATTATATTATATATACATATATTATTAATAATATAATGTAATACAATATAATATTACTACTAATAATAATACAATATTATAATTATATATTTTATATCACATGTAATATTACTAATAATATTACAACATAATGGTGTACAATATAGTAATAATACTGATGTTGTTGTTAATTCGTTTAGTCGTTTCCGACTCTTCGTGACCTCATGGACCAGCCCACGCCAGAGCTCCCTGTCGGCTGTCACCACCCCCAGCTCCTTCAAGGTCAGTCCAGTCACTTCAAGGATGCCATCCATCCATCTTGCCCTTGGTCGGCCCCTCTTCCTTTTGCCTTCCACTTTCTCCAGCATAATTGTCTTCTCTAGGCTTTCCTGTCTCCTCATGATGTGGCCAAAGGACTTCAACTTTGTCTCTAGTATCCTTCCCTCCAGTGAGCAGCCGGGCTTTATTTCCTGGAGGATGGACTGGTTGGATCTTCTCGCAGTCCAAGGCACTCTCAGGACTTTCCTCCAACACCACAGTTCAAAAGCATCGATCTTCCTTCACTCAGCCTTCCCTAAGGTCCAGCTCTCACATCCATAGGTTACTACAGGGAATACCATGGCTTTGACTATGCGAATCTTTGTACTGATATTGTACTATGCTAATAATTTAATATATCGTATGTATATATATCTATCTATCTTGTAAGCTGCTCTGTGTCCCCTTCGGGGTGAGAAGGGCAGCATATAAATGTAGCAAATAAATAAATAAATAACACTCCAAAGCCCCTCCCTGGAGGGCCCAAGTTTGCCCCTGCCTGGTCTACACTGTAGAATGAATGCAATTTGTCACTACTGGGATGGTTGAAGGGTCAGGTCTGAAGTCACTAACAGCTCTGTCTTCTTCTCTTCAGACCTGTAATACGTGGATAACAATAGGTAAAGGTAAAGGTTTTCACTTGACGTTAAGTCCAGTCATGTCCAACTTTGGGGGTTGGTGGTCATCACCATTTTGAACTCGAAGAGCCGGCATTGTCCGTAGACATCTCCAAAGTATTGTGGCCGGCATGTCTATATGGAGCGCCATTACTTTTCCGCTGGAGTGGTACCTATTGATCTCACATTTCCATGTTTTCGAACTGCTAGGTAGGCAGAAGCTGGACCAAACAGTGGGAGCTCACCCCACTCCCCGGATTCGAACCTGCAACCTTTCAGTCAATGAGTTCAGCAGCTCAGTGGTTAAACCCACTGCGCTGCTGGGGGCTCCTGTGGATAACAATAGACAGCTGCATTTTCCTGGTTATAGATCCTTACTAACAGTATACACATATCTAGACAATTTTAAAACAATTGGCAATTTAAACAAAACCAATATTTAGAGTTCTTGTCTTTGTTTCTGCTTTTGAAAAATGTGTGTGTGTGTAAAGATGCTACACGGTATCCAAACACAGCTGTGCTCAAGTCTGTGTTTTCTCTATTTCCTCTGAAGCAATCAAGGGCCCTGGAACTGTTTTCAAAGTGTGGGAGCTCAAGGTTATTGTGAATTCTACATACTTGCATATACAAAACAATAAAAAAAAAAAACAGAATGTAAAATAATACCCTCAACTGAAGCAGTTAACAATGCAATTACTGTGAAAACAACAATAAGATAATAAATGGAATGGACTGGTTTAAAGCATAAAATTGATGTACCGAGGAAAGGGAAAACCATATAAGACCTTATTAAGCTTATGCAAAGATGGCTATAAACTGGAAAACTGGTTCTTTAGGGACTCAACAGTTCTGAAGTCCAAATTATAGCATTTTGAACCAGGCTTTACAAACGGTCAAACTGTTGCAATAACATCATTTAGAATTGCTGTTTCAGGAGAGTCGGGGGAATGGCAGGGAGGGTGTGGGTGATGAGCGATACACATCTAAGGAATGTATAAAGTGTTATTTAAGGAATATTTACTTTTGGAATAATGTATAGTGAGAAAAGGCTTGTATGGCAAAACTTTGTTAATTGTTGGGATGTATCAACTAAATAATAATAATAATAATAATAATAATAATAATAATAATAATAGTTCTGAAGTTCATGTGAGCTGTTACATGGATGTCTGCCTTGCTGGCAAAACAAGAAAAAGGCATGAAAGATAACCAAGAACTCCCTCTGATGAACTGGATTCCAGCTCTTTGTTGAGTGATTTCAGCTCTGCTAAATCGCAGTTTAGGCTCCCCAGAATGCCGAATGAGACACAGAGGGATAGAAGGCAAACACAGAGGTTTATTCTCACTGGCTGAGAGAAGGCACTCCAAAGTACTGACGTGTCACCATTACAAATACAGAGCATTTTTATTTTATTTAACAGCTATTCAATAAACTCATACCAGCTCCTGATCGACTGAAAAACTGTCTGCCTTGGATCCGCATCCTGATTCGCTCAGGACTCAATAGGACATTATCACTGGTTATCTCTTTGTGTGACAGGGAATTTAATCAACCGCCATTGGTTTATTTTGAAGAGATAGTCCGTTTGTTGATCCACCTTTTTGAGGAGTGCAAACAGAAAGGAATGTACTGTGGCATTGAGAAATGAGTCCATTATGGTCTTAATGCAGTGGTTCTCTGGGTCCACAGTATCAGATATTTTGGCCTTCAGCTCCCAGAAATCCTAACAGCTGGTAAACTGGCTGGGATTTCTGGGAGTTGTAGGCCAAAACACCTGGGGACTCACAGGCTGAGAACCACTGGCTTAATGGGTTGGCTCTGGTTAACGCAATATGATTAATCTTAACACACAATGTGCTGTCGCACGCTGGGCCTGTGCATCAGACTGTAGACAGGACAATTCTGTGTGCCCAATGGGACGCCAGGGCTGCCTCAGATTAAAGGCCCTTGGATTTCCTCAAAACAGAATATTTAGGATTGCTTAAAGTTTCAACAAACAGGTACTTTTTTGAAAACAAACAGGTACTTTAAGGCTTTCTTAACAGTCTATTGGCTCTCTCCCTCTCAATCTTGTCCACAGGGAACAGGCACTATCTTCATAACTGTAACTAATGGGGAAATCCTTAACTTCTAATCTGGGCAGTCTGTCTTTGCCTCTGATGGTGTGGAGCCCCTACACCAACTGCTTCTGGCTTCCGTGAGTGACCCTTACCAAGCAGAGCTTTGTAGACCTCCAGGGGAAAAGAAGTTCAGGTTTCAGTGATGGTTGACTGAAATCCCTCTGCAAAGGAGCTGTAAGGCTGTATGATCCTCGGCCAAGCTGTGGGCTGTATAACCCCAGCCAAGCTGTAGGCTGTATATCTCCCCGGCCAAGCCGTAGAAGACGAAGCTTTCTACAGGAGCTCTTGGTATAATGTCCTACATGGAAAGCTTCTCTGTGTGGACTGAACTCAAAAAGGCTCCTATTCCCTCCAAAAACCCAGAGGGGGTGGGACCAGGGAACCTAACTATAATTGACAGGTGGCTTGCCCTATGATTGCAGCCAAAAGAAGCCACCTATCTGCAGAGTCCCTGAAACTTAGGACTGCAACAAACATTCAATGCAAAGCAAACAAAATTGGAGCTCCTGGTACAGCTGTACCTGCACACACAATAAGGTGATCTCAAGTGTTGATTAATCAACAGACCTCTCCCCAGTGGTCTGGGAAAAGCAAACATTCCCACACTAGCCTAGATCATATCATGCCAGTTAGATAAAGGAAACCCAAAAAGCTCTGATTCATATTCATTGTATGTCCCTCTCTCATTCATCCTAATACATTGTGTGGTGGTTGTGATTTTCTGTAGGTGAGGGTGCGGCAAGAACAAGGTGAGTTCACGCTCTGGGGAATTTCCAAGGAATTCATAGAAAAGTTACATTTTGGGACGATTAGAAATGACCATGTGGCTGGCTGTGTTTTCCAATGGAGCCACAGACAATAATTCATAATTCGGGGTCCGATTTCTTGGTGTCATCTTGAAAGCTCATATCTCATGCTAAGGTACCTACGTCTTTGGGACTTTTTCAAATACTGGAACTAGCAGTCTATCATTTCATTTTTATTCACTTTTTATTTACCAAATAATCACCTTACCATCTTTTTAGTGAAGGTACACTTAATGTATCCAAGGGAAGCAATTGTGATGTGCATATGTAATTATTTCCATGAGGCTTTCTTAAGGATAGTAATTCCATCAAAATTTTAGCAATTATTCTTTCTTTGGCTTGAAAACTCATTATAGTCTTTCCCTTGAGTGTTTTTCATAACGACTAATTAGGGATTTAAATAGTTGTATTAACTAAATTTTTGAAAATATCCATTACAAATAGAAAGTTTTGTAGTACAAAGGTGAAATGTATCTTACATTTCAGAAAACTTCATAAATTTTTGCTTGCCAGAGGGTGGCAATAGATTGGAGAAAAGCTCAGCTTCTCATTATTGTTCATGAGTTACTTTTTCTGAGATAGAAGCAGGGTTTCTTTTTCTCAAGTGGTAAAAATAAACCATCTGTCTTGAGATGTTGAGATCCATGAAGTGGGTGCACTATGAATATTTACCATCAATTGCATGTTAGCAATATTTGGCACTGTAAGGAACTTCTGCCCATTTCCTACAGCTGAGTTTCAGTCAAAGAAGAACATGTACTTAGCCTGATTTAATCTTCTTGTCACAATTTGTGATTATGCACAGGCTGTAGGCAGTAAATAGTAAGCAAAAGGATTTCCCTGGAGGCCTGATATTTAAACTAGGGGAAACAATGATTTTTATAGCAATTATGCAAATGCCAGCTGGTTTTTAAGTAGCAACATAGAAGAAACACAAACACAGATACCAATGGAAAGTTATAGAGCCTGTACAATTTATTTACAGCTTGACATTCCCATTTTGTTCTTGGGCATTTTCAACAACTTTACAGTACAACACAAGAAGAAACTTATGATTTGGAAGCTCCATATTTACAGCTGCCCACAAATCCTGTAAACATTTTGTCAAGTATTTGTAATATCTCTCCACTCTCACACAAATATGCATGCTCAGAAATGCAATCAAATATTTAGTTGACATTTGGGTCCTTACCCCGATAATTTGGGCACCCAGTCTTCAAGACCTATTTCCTCATTGTTTCTCCTATGTAAAATGCCATGGTGTTAGTCCCTTCTATTTCAGGTTTTATACTTTTTATAACAAGTCCTTTTCTAGCTCTTCCATCAAAGACCTGCTTTATTCCAGGAGTCTCCATGGACCCCGCCTGCTGCTGGTTTGCGTTTCTATTGTATTCCCACCTTTTGGTTACCACACACATTCCTTGGAATATATATGGCCACATGGACTGGTGTGGAACATAAGAATTAAGGAATTAATATACAGTTCATTTTAAAGTGCCAGTATTTGAGAACAGAGCAAATTAGGAAAAGTTTGTGATTTAACATTGCAGTTGAAAATCTTTGGCCCATGCATAAAAATGTAAACTTGTTGGTTTTTAAGAACCCACCAACCTATTTACATAACTCTTATTTCCATCGTTGGCCACACAAATCTGAATTGTGCTCAACAACTGTTAACATTCCTTTCTAAGAACATTTTCTCCTATATCTGACAGATCATCTGAATTGGCAACCATGAGAGGAAAATAATATTCTGACTGATCACAGAATGATGGATTCTGGCCAATTCGCAATGGCATAGAACATCACCTTATTATCTGGCAAAATGCCTGCTTTGTCATTTTTAAAGCAGTTCATGGTGATGTTGTTGCTTGGAGCAGCTAGATGTGCTTATTTTGCTTTTTTTGTTTCATTTTTACAACCATATAGTCTCTTGTCAGTTCAGCAATCATCATTCTCCAGCTGGGATACTTTGAACAATTTTTATTAAATTTTCTAAACCAAAAATGTAGCCATGGTCTGGGCCATCGTAGCTGGTTTGGTTATACTGTGAACCTTTGTATGTTGTATGAGCAAAGTCTATCATACGGACATCAACTTTAGGGTGGCTGTTTCCATGTGAAGTGGGACCGCTAGTATGCTGGGAGTTACCCTGGGAGTAATTGTCTGAAGGAGTAGCTTTCTCCAGTCCCTCGTAATTTATGAGAAGTGAGCTGGAGTAGAACCTGTAAGTGCTCTGTTTTTTAATGATGGACAGCAAAGCCTTCAGTTGAGACAAAATGGGTTCTACAAGGTCTGTTCTGAAGTGATTCCCATTGTGAAGAAACTGGTGGATGGCCTGCCTGAAGCCCTCTGGGGAGAGTTTCCGTCCATAGTATTTATCTTTGCAGATATACTGGTCTGTGTCTGCTTGGTAAACCTTGGGAGAAAAAAAGAACAATCTACATTAGCCATCTGTTTTGCAAGCTGTAATTTGGTAAGTTAATTTATAAAAGTTCTTCTGAAACCACCAATAATGCAGTGTCTGAGTATATCATAAACATAATGCATTTATACTTAGCCCTGCAAGGGAATGAAGAGCAGTAATGTGCTTTGTTGAGATGAGAATCAAAATATAGAGAAAGTACAACTTGGAATGAAACAAAATATTGGTACAATTTTTACAGTGACTATTTATTTAATATATTTTCATGGTGTCCTCCCAAGAATTTCAGGTAGTACAGACTGAGCATTCCGTCTTCTAAATTCCAAAACCCCCAAGATCCTAAAAAAAAAAAACAACCCCAAATACTCCACTTTTGGGATATTATACTGGCACTTTTGTTTTCTGATGGTTCAGTGTACCTAAAAGTGTTTTTAATGCAAAAATATTGAAAATATTGTGTAAAATTTACATAATAATTAATAACAGCACAAACATTGCAAAAACTCTATAAATAGACATATTAAACTGTAGCTCTATAAAAGATACATATTAAAACGTATTTCTATAAAACTCATATTAAACACACAAGACAGAGGTTAAAACACAGGACACGAGTTCATGCTTAAAACTGTGTGGGTAGGCCAGCTGGTTGGTCAGACTATTTGCATGATATGCATATGAAACAAATGAATTTTGCATTTGGGTCTGGGTCTCATTTCTAAAATATCTCAATATGTACATTCTGTATATGCAAGTACATGTATTCCAAACTACAAAAACCTAAACATTTCTAGTTTGGGATTGTGGATAAGAGACATACAATCTGCACCATCTCTTTATTTTCATGGGAACCCTGTGGAATAATATAGTCTGACACAGTTAACAATACCAAGGTTTCCTAGGGACCTTCATAGCTCAGTGATTATTTAAAACTGGATCCTTTACAACCATATTTGGTGCTCTATCCAATGCAAATCCCCAAATCTATTGCATCATCTTTCTTTCCACACTGAGAGACTTGCAGTCAACCATTTTTTTAAATCACCTTGGACGGTAACAACACTAACAATCAATAACTCAGGTTACTATAACTGTTCAAAGCCAGAAGGCAACATCAGCCAGAAAGATTATTGCCAAGTCCTAGGGATCTCAAAAGGAAAAAATGACTATAGGTGTAATGATCTCAGTAGAGTGATATGCTGTGTCTACATCAATGGCTCCCAACCTGTGGTCCATGGACCACCAGTGGTCCCCAAAAACAAAAATATGGTTCCCGGCCTCACCATTACTGCACCGTTGCCTCGAAACTACGTGGCAACAAGAGTGACTGGTCTTGTGAAATCCTCTTAAGTGCTGAGGCAATGGAGATGTTGGGAGGGGAGATGCTCACTACCCACAAAAGATTACTACTACCACATCAGCTCTAGATTATTAAATTTGGTTTTCTGTGGGTGAGCAGCTGGTGACTACTGGATGGTATATGTTCTGTATCAGAAACTAGAGCTGACATGGTTTATCCAATGCAATTTTCTGAATCAGCACCCCAAATAACCAAACCGAATGTAAAGTTGACCAAAAACTGATTTGTAACTCTTTTGGTACTAATGTTGGAGAGTGGTCCTTAATCAAAATGATCCCTGTTCAAGTGGTCCCTGGTTAAAAAAAAAAAGGCTGGGAACCACTGATTTACAATCTACATCAATATACAGGTTGCATATTCACTTGAGAGTTGGAACAACTATTACAGTACTTGTAATAATGAAAATAAATTCCATTATTCCATTACTGAGTCCGTGGTTTCAAATGTATCAACCAATCTAATCTATAGTAGGACCCTGGTCCATCTAGCTAAGTATTGTCTACTTGGACTAAAAGTGACTCTCCTAGCCAGTTTTCCACGGTTTCAAATCTATCACTACTTAGAGATCCAAACCTTATAGAGACCTTCCATGCTCTCTACTTATATTGGTATGAATGGCTGCATCATAAAGAACCCTGGGGTTTGTGCTTTGATGAGTTGCTACAGTTCCCTGTTTGAAAATCCTTAATGTCCCTTCCTAGACTGCAAGTGCCAAAATGTCATATGATGGAACTGTGGGATTTAAACATAACACTATACTGAAAGGGCCCCCAGCTGCTGGTTTTGTACCATAAACAATCAGTCTTTTCAGTAATTATTAGTTATTGTGCTTTTAGAACAGTAAGACAGGTCCATGATGGGGGGGGGGGACCCTTTCAATACTGTAGCTATTCATAATGTGTTTTGAGATATTGTATTTGAAAAAAAAAAACCCCACACAATTAAAATGTTATATGGTACGTAATTATTTCACAAATTCCAGTATTAATTTCATTCGGTCACGTATTATAACAGGAAAATGTTAAAGCCAGTTGTGAAAAAACTGTACATAATAGAGCAAATCTAACATCACTTTTGGATTAAGAACATTGCCATATTTTAAATAATGTTAAAGAATCTTATGGCCATCAATTTTGTAGATCTGTGAAAAATGCCCCCAACATTTGAAGTTGTTATTAAAAGCAATGAATTGATTCTTCAAGGAATGCTTGAAGCCAAAACAAGGCTGCTTTATATGATCCTAACCCCTGCCCCCCTTTGTCAACTGTCTTTTTTTTTTTGGGGGGGGGGGGTGTACCAATAATTCAGATCTATTTAAATGTCTGTATTTTTTCCATTTGGCAAAATGGGTTCTCATCCCCTAATGCTTTTGCTAAGTTTATTTATATATCTTTAAGATGTCATGGGATACTTAATTGATTTTGCTACAACATACTAGCATGCTGCTCTGTGGCAATCTTGGCTTCTGATTTTCAAGAATATGAGGATTGTACTCCACAAAAGAAATAGGAATTTGATTCTTAAAACCTTTAATATTTATGACCAAAGAGCTTGGTTTTACTTTTCTACATTAAACAACTGCTATGAATCAACAAACATTTCATGTTTTCTCCCTATCCATTCGCCTCTTACTTTCTCTTTTAAATCCAGAACCAGCCTAAAGCATAGCTTTTTGGATGTAAAATCAATAATGTTGTCTTTTTTCACTTTTACTGTCGTTAGGTGTTCTGTATTATAGTTTCATTCCAAGCCATATTTCTTTATACTATTGAAAAATGTGTGCCCTGATAATAACATTACGTGCTTTCTTTTGGAAGCAGAGAACACCAAAATGAGTTCTTCTTACCTGCATGCCACAAATACGGACACCCAGGGACGCCGATGTACTCTGTTCACATTTCTTTATTTGCCGTGCTTTTTTCTCTTCTGATGCATCGTCGCCATGCTGCCTGGTTCCCATCTTTAAGTCCAAAATGCATGGGCATTTATACTTGGATACCAAATTTTCAAGCAGTAGAAATTCTGAGCGCATGAATTAAGGAAAGCATGTTTATTTAAAAAAACAACAACTAGATTTAACAATAATAGAACATTGCAATTGCCTTCACAAGCTTACAGACGGATTTCTTATTTCGATCACAATCTAATTTTCTGCAGAAAGCCTGGCACCTCAGAGCTGTCTGTTCAACCCTTTGAATTTCAATTAAAGGTTAGGAGAGGCTTTTCAACTGTAGAGTTCACCAGTCAATGTAAAAAGGTGAATAGCCTTATCGTATGGTAATGGCTTCGAGATACACATCATGAGATAGAAGAGTCATGGATCTGTAACATATTATTCTTGGTTCAGAGGGTTTTTTTCCTTGACTGATAACAAAATAGAGATGAAAATCAACAAAAAATATTAATTAATGCTTCACTTATTCAAATATTCAGTTACAGACTTTCAAACATGGTATCATTTGAATTAGATGGTTGCAAAATCATTTTTTAAAATTTTGAGACCTAGGTTCCTACATGTAAAATATAGCAGTGACATTCCAAATTTATGACATGCTAATTTTGCTGTTCTTAGATTTTAGCAAATGACATTTATAATGGAGAAGCTGTGTTGAATAGTGACATATTTGTATGCATTAATGTGTATGTGTTTACATCTGTCTATCATCTATCTATTGTCAGATTCTGACATAACTGTCCTTCTGGAAACTGTTAAATCTGTACTTGCTACTTTCCATTTTATTTTCCAGTATTTTACTTTAAGATTTAATGGATAATCATGTCTGCCCAAATCATCAGTCATGGCTACTTTTGCCAGATTTTGTTCTACATGTTTTTCCCCCCAGTGCTAGTAGAGTCCACTACTGCAAATTATCCATGAGATATATAGGTTGTAATGTTCATCAATTATTAAAAGTCAATGGGATGCTGGGAGTTCTCAATTGCAACCTTGGGATTGTAAACAATCAGTCAACAGTAACAAGAACAGCCAAGAAAAAGATACGATGAGGTTTGTTCTCATTATACTTGGAAGACATGCGGTTTAGATGCTCTTTGTGGCAGTGCAGTCCCCAGGGGTTATAGCTGTTCTTTTCTGTCTGGTTCCCATTGTCTTTCTCCATAAGTGAAGATACATCTCTACGATGCTGAAGGTCAGCTTGTAGTATTGCCTTCTCCTGACAGCTAAGAAAAATGAGGAAAATACATATTTAGCTTTTTTTGGGTATCAATTAGGTATTGCCCTGAATCTAAGCATGAATACCCAAAAGCAAGTCTCAATTATAACACAATTCTGCATATACATTTAACCAAAAGTGAGCACCTCTGCATTCTATTTAGAACTGCAGCAATCCTAACAGAGCAATTCCATAATGACATCTCATATGTAAGTCCCATTGAATTCAGTTGGGATTACTGCTAGGTAAATCTAGAAATGAATTACCAGTTATTACCTTCATTTTTTCCCTTATAGCTTTTATTGAGACCATTGGTGTGCTCCAAGTGACTAATTCAAGTGTGAAGGGTTAAGCAGGTTAGTAATTTGTTCTGAGTCATAGTCCCTTTTATAGAATGATCTGTATGACTAATTTAAAATAACAATGTTGATAAAATGAAGGATATGTTCCTTTTCTTTTTGTCCATCATTATTCAAGGAAGGACTTACCGGTAATATGAAAACATTATTTTCAAACCCTTTGGCTTTATTCGGATGTAATGTTGCCATATGTGGTAAGCAATATGCAATATGAAATAATGTTTTCATATTAAATCCTTCCTTGATTTCCTCTTGTGTTCCTTGAGCCATCACTACAAATAAGAACCACCCAGATTCAGTCCAGATTTGATTGAGGTGTATATTGCTTACCTGTCTTTGATTGTGTTGCTTAGTTGATCATGATTCCATTTCACAAATGTGTGGTCACCATTGCTGCTTTTGGCTTGGTTGAGTTTCTGCCATATTGTCATCGAACATTCCTTTGAGGCTTTATCTAAGGAACTGCGCCTGTCTGTTTGTGGGCAGGCTATAAGGCTCAAATTGCCCATGCTGTCCTTCTTGAGATGTACAGAAATAATACCTTTAAAGGAAAGAAAGAACTGTGTAAACAGAAGCACAACTGACCTATAAGCAGGTAGTTTGCATACAGTACACTGAAGTTGACAGGAGAAGGAAGGAAAACAGGACATATTTACAGTGCACTTTGTTGCTTTGCCAGCAAGGCAGCAGTCCATGTAGCATCTTACACGAACTTTAGAACTGCTTACTTCTAAATTAGTAATTCCTTTAGTTCCCCATATAATTAGGAGCATCATCAGACGGGCAGAGGGAAAGCAGGGAAAAGAAGGGGAAAGCTGAGGGAACTGTTTTCCTTCGTTCCCTACCATCTTTCCCTATCTTCTGAGATGGCCTCCCATCCCATTTGGTTTCCTGTACTTTTCCTGCTTCCTCTTTTGTTTCTTCACATTGCCGAAATAGAGCCCTACGGAGTCCTGCTGGAAGTTGCCCTGTGTCATGTGATGGGCCTCGTGGGACTCCGTTTTGGCAACATGGAGAAACATGGTGAAAACTATGTTTGATAAGATCCTAAGTGACTGATTTCTCTAGATATTCTCATGCAACATATGGCTGAAATGCTAAGAAAAATGTTTTAAAGCACCTTTCTCAAATGAATTGCTGCCTTAACAATTTAGACTACTGAACTCAAAGATTATGAAGACCGAAAGGAATGAATACTTTTGCTAGGATGACCAAATTCGATAGTATTTGTTGAATTAGAACAATGATTTCAACATACATTTCAGGGCGGAGGTTTGTAGGTTGCATATTATAGGGAGTGATCATAGGCCAGCAAATCTAGAGATAAGGAACACATAAGCAGGAGAAAATGGAATGGTGTCTGTGGATCTGCCCTCCTCCCCTATTCACAAATTGATCCCATGCTTCCTACTGTCCATGTGTTCTCATTCCTGGATATATATGGTTAGTATATGAAAGCATTTTTTTCAGACAAAGAACAGTGCAAACCTATTGTACTTAGATCTTTGCCTTTGAGGATCTGGATTTGTGCCCTCTTATTCTTTGGAAAACAGCTGTTAGCCTTTCTGAAATTCGTTTTTCTTTTATCTTCACTCACTACCACTGACTTTCACGTGTGATCTGTTCCATATTCAATGTCCTTGCACTTTAATTCTATCCAGGTTATGTCATAGCTAAACCAACTGGAGCCTAAGATTGGATTCCAGCATGCAGGGTCTCTGACACAGTCCAAATGCCGAATGTGCCAAATTTTCATAAAAATAGGCATTCAATAGGAAGGAGGGTGATTGAAAGTGCAGCATCTTTCCACTAACTATTTCCCTTTCTTTCCTTAATTATTTTTCTCCCGATAGGAGTTCCGTGTATGGTTTTCACTAGGGAAAATAATAGCTGGTGAGAAAGTGCTTGTGGATTTAGTTTTTGGTAGCCATTTAAATGTTGCCAAAAAGATGAATGACATCTGCATAATGTATGCATGTATTAATGTATAACTATAGGTGCAAATGTAGAAATAATTATTATGCAAATAAAAATGTACTATATTTTCCCTTAGTAGAAAAGACTATTCCCAAGTAATTGCTCTTAGTAGACTAGATGATTTCAATATCCTTGCCTCTCCTTATTCTATTTTTTTTAAAATCAATGAAACGTGGACTGGGCAGCCCTTCAGATAAAGGCAAGTCTGCTATATAGCAGAACTGGCCATGCTGGCTACAGGATTCTGGATACATAGTCTAAAAAGTAACTTTTCTGAGCTCTGCTTCACTGCTAAATCAGTGAAAAGCTTGCAGCTGCTATAATTTTTTCTGCATTGTAGTGCTTTTGAATGAAAATTAAGAATGGAGACAATTAAGTAAAATAAAAATGAGTCACCTGGGAAAAATTCTTGGAGTTTAATTTTCTTATCTTTAAGTGGGGCTGAAGACATAATAAGTGGCCTTATTTTCTGCCCTTTAGCCTTTCATTTATGGATCAAATCTGTGGCTGTGCTTGTTCTAAAATAGAACAAGCTCTTTCCCACATTGCTCAGATATCACATATGTGGCAATATGTATTGCTCTAAAATAAACCACGATGGAAAAAAATAATTGGGGAGGGGAGGGTGCTTGCTTAGAAAATAGATCTTGTTGTTTGAATATTTTAGAAGAACATCTTCCAAAAACAAGAACAAGTGTGACGATATCATCTCAGAATAACCCACAGGTATTGATCCTCTGTTTATCTGAGATTTACCCTTCCCATTTTCTAATGCCCAAAAGTGTAGAGTAATTCATTGGTAGACTGACTGTTCTTATATCTAGGGCAATTGTATTATTTCTGTGCAGAAGGTCCAAACTAATTTTTTATAGACCTGTGGTTCAGGATAGACAATAGTTGTCAGTGCATGCACAAATAAAGGAAAACTGTAGAGGCTACTTTTTGAAATTAGAACCTGCATATTTAAAGATTCACCAGTACAGACTGCATATTAATAGTGTATTATATTCATCAACCTAAATTACTCTATAGTTTTTGCCCTTTAAAAATGGTATCAACATTTTGTTTATTTTATGTGGAAAACATAAATACAACAGTGGCAGGTTTTTGCCTCAGTGGAAAAACAAGGATTACAAACATGAGAAGGATTACTCTATCAGACACTCATATGTAAAAGTGTCACAGGTTGAGTGGGTAAAGGAACTCTCTTAGCAAGCACAGTCCAAAAACCTCTAAAGACAGTCTACTCTCCAGGTATTACATTTTAGGGGCCCCATGATCCAAGTAGGGATAAAAACCACTGAGTTTCACTGTTGAACTGAGACTTGAGATTCAGATCCCAGTCTCCATTGAGACATGAACTATCCTGGACTGGCCATTCTCATCCATGTGGGAATATAGTAGGCAGCAGGAGGAGAGCTTACGCATTGCCTTGAGTGAAAGGAGGGATAGCTAGATATAAATGTAAAATCTATTTCTAGTACTAATACTGATGATATTATTTATTGTTGTTGTTATTATTCCATGGTCTAAAAGAACACAGTCCAAAAGAACACAGCCCACAGGGCAGAAGAACTAAGTCCTCTAAATTTCAGCACGGGTAAATTTAATAGGGCTCACATGGCTGAAGTGCTAGACAACCTTTTACAGATTACCGGCACTCCCAATAAAGCCTCCGTGATCTCAGTTGCAGTCCCGAGAGTCTCAGATGACAGGTTACTTTTGGGCATGGCTTGTCGATCAGAAAGCTCTGACCTTTTGATGACAGGCTAATCATAGTGGTCTCCCCTTCCTAAGGGCATCCCACACACTCTGCTTGGTGAGGGTTGCATTTTCAGTCCCAGCCTTAACAGCCTGACAGCAGTACCACTTGAGACTCTTTTGCATAGCCCTGCCCTTTAAGGATTAGTCAGGATCCTTCCAAGCCATGTGAAAAACTCTCAGCAGTATCTGGACTGTTCCAAGTCTTTTGGTGGGAACTCAGGACAAAGCAAGGCTGCCAGCTGTCACTGTTCAGGACTGCTGCTGTGCCTATAACAGCAAATGGACACTTTACGTAACATTATCACCTACTGGGGTTGGTTGAACAAGTCAGTAAAGATCTGCCCAGCTAGAAAAGCAGAACAGCAAAATAAGTTAAAAACAACACCTTTAGGAGCAATTGCTATTGAAAGGACTGGTTGAAAACTGTAGCGAGAGGAGCCATGGACTCTCTGGATCAGTGATTCTTAACCTGTGGGTCCCCAGATAGTTTGGCCTTCAACTCCCAGAAATCCTAACAGCTGGTAAACCTGGGGACCCATAGGTTGAGAACCACTGCTCTGGATGTTTTGAATTTCAGTTTCCACAAGCCCTTATTACTAGCAATGTTGGTTGGTAATCCTAGAAGTTGAAGTTCAAAACATCTGGAGATGAATGATACACTAACTCTTTCCATCAACTACAGAACATTTAATAATACAGTAGAGTCTTGTTTATCCAACCTTCACTTATCCAATGTTCTGTATTATTCAACGCAGTCTGCCTCCTGCCCAGATCCACAGGTGAGGGGAGTGTATATTTATCTGTGGAATAATGTCCAGGGTGATAGAAAAAAGAACCCTTGTCTGTTTAGGTGCTAAATTCGTAAATACAGTAATTACTACATAATGTTACTGTGTATTGAACTGCTTTTTCTGTTGATTTGTTGTAAAACACGATGTTTTGGTGCTTAATTTGTAAAATCATAACCTAATTTGACGTTTAATAGGTTTTCCCTTAATCCCTCCTTATTATCCAACATTTTTCCTTATCCAGTGTTCTACCGGCCTGTTTATGTTGGATAAGCGAGACTCTACTGAATATGAGACTTCTTTATTCTCTGTTTTTGAATCAGCGCAGGAAGCAACTAACACACTCATGATGGGTGATGTTAGAAAAAACTTTAATTTTTGCAGTTGTGGTGGTTATCCTTCAAGTCATTTCCAATTTTTGGTGATCCCAAGGTAAGCCTGTCACAGGGGGTTTTCTCTCCAGAATTTTTCAGAACAGATTTCCCCTTGTTATCCTCCAAGGCTGAGAGAGTGTGATTTGCCCAAGGTCACCTAGTGGATTTCCATGGCTGAGCAGGGATTGGAACCCAAGTCTTCAGAGTTGTAGTCCAGTGCTAAGACTGTTTTCGCTAATTTCCAAAAATAATATCATACACCAATGCTTATCAACTCTTTGAGGACAGCATTTTCTTCCTCTACTAACCTAATTTGCATGTGTTTCACATTTGATACATTTTCCTGGACTGGTTCATAGCCCTGTCACTTTCTAGTCATTCACATTATGAAACGTGGACTCTGTTCCTTTTCACAGCTGTTCTGAATTTAAGACTGGTACACATGCAAAGCAGCATCTAGATGTTTGCTTCCCACACAGCAGTGACTTTTGTACCGTGGTGTTAAATCGTAAGTAATGAAAGAAGTTCCCATGAAAAAAATGAGGTTCTTCAAGGTTTTGTTGTGAGGATCTCAACTTTTCAGTATTAGATCTGGTCCTGCCAGTCTGTTTGCACAACTTGAAATCGGAATAAGCATC